TGTGTGTGTGGGAGGGCTCCATACCTGAAGTCACTGTAGGGGTGGATGATCCACGATCCTGCTGATTTCAGTCTTTCCTGTTCCTGTTCCACAGCTTTGTGCGATCCAAACATGCGCAGACTAAACTTGTTGACCCCAGGCTGAAGCATGGCTCCAAACTGTCTCTGGATGAAGGTGCTCTGGTTGGAGTTGCTGTAGTCTTCCCCGTCCAATCCCATGCCAAATCCACCCAGGCTAGACTGACCCATCATCTCAGGGGTTCCTGCTGCATTGGTGTTGCATGCTGTGGTTGTGGTGGTCTCTGCACCGGTGGCCACCACCATGACACCGGTCCCGGTGGAGGACGTAGAGGCCAGGGCTGCACGGGAGGCGAAGCCTACTGATCGCGGAGGAGGATGGGTTGTGCCAAAAGAGGAGGACGGAGGAGGCGGCAAGGGAATCGGGGTAGTTGGAGTGCCTGCTGTACGGAAGGGCAGGCCGTCCCTGGTGGAGGCGCTCATGATGGAGAGGCGACGCCCGCGTCCACCTGAGGACGTGCTATCTGCCCCAAAGGAGCCCTTTTCTCCCTCCAGCGAGGCCTGGGACAGCCTGTAGCCGGGAGAGGGCAAGCTGCCCTTACTGCGCCTCTTCGAGTCCCCTCCGTTACGCCTGGGCAGGCTGTCACCCCCGGACCCCCCAACGCTACTAGGGGTACCCACACCTCCAGCCACCCCATCCATCCCAACTCAGGGAAGGGGAGGAGTGTGAGGGGAGGATCAATATAACCTGTGACCCCCACCCCTCAGAATAACTATTCAGTACTGTCGACCTGTCTAGGTTACATAGATGAGAAAGTCAGTGACGCTCTGAATGTTAAATTGAAGAAGCGACAGAAAAGTGCAGCGTGTCTCCAGTCATTCTCCCGGAGTCTTCCGCCCTCTTTTCGCGGATGTGGCCATCCTTACCTCAGTGCCCTTGGAAAAAGCCCCATCCAGACAAAAATCTTCCCCCCCTATCACTGTGACGCCAGCAGCTTCACTTTTCCTCTTTTCTTAAAGAGTCTCGTTTGTCCTTACAGATGTTTCTCTGCCAGTCCTCCTTCCTCGTCCTTGAAACGCTGCTCTCCGCCCGAGGCCCTCCCTCTCCGCTCCACAGTCGCCCTTAACGCTCCGACACCGGTCATATTGGCACCGGATTCCCGGTCTATTGTAGATAAGAGCGCTCGACGCTCATTGGCCCTCCGTGTCCTGTCCGTGTAGCCTATATGTCCAGGCTGCCTTCCCAGTCTTTGCCCCTTTCATCATATATCATTATGTAAGAGATGTTTTGGGCGCTAAGGTGTCAGACTGGGGAACATTCATCCGAGGATGAAAGACAAGGACACTCGATACTCTGTTAGGAGGGATGGGTTGTTAACGGACAGAAAGGACGCACGAAAAAAGGCACAAACGAGCGCTCATTCCGAGACGCACTGATTCATACGGACACGCACTCGACCAGCAACCAGGCACATGCACACAGGAAAAACGGGAACAAATACGGCTGGGAAAGAAGTCAGAATACCCCAGGTCTAGCCCATGTTTTCACTGAGTCCGCCACACGTTGTCATTTTCAGTATCCGTGCGGGAAAAACACCTTCACCATGACGGAAAACCCATCTACCCGCGACTGAAGCGCAGTCAGACACACAGACAGATTTCCTCCTTTACAAAAAAGCTATTTTATAAAAAAACAAACAAAAAAAAAAAACTGATACCGCAATTAACTTGATGAGGTTCTCACAGCCTGACGCGCCACATTCCATGTTTCCTCACATGCAGGCGCTGCCATGCACTTCACTTCACTTTTCAATGACACTGTGTCCAGTCTACAGGGATACGGCGGCGTCCCTTCCCCTCTTATGGCACCAACGGCAGATTACAGACTCTACATTTAAATGAAGAAAGCCGCTCCGAGGTAAAACTGTGCGCTCCCATGAATTTCAAACCTTCCTTTAAAAAAAAGCAACTTGTTGAGCCTTGGTCCTCGGGAGATTGTGCAGAGCAGATGGAGTCCAGTTTACGGCTCAATTTACTTCCTTTTCTGACTCAACACTCAGAGGTCGGTCTGACACGTCCGCAAAAGCGCGCAACCAGCGCGTGCAAATGAAATATTAAATAAATAAATGTCCATATAATAGTCGGAATCTAATCAGCTTGTTGCCATGGCATCCGCATCCCCATCATCCTTCCCCCAAGGCCGCATGCCCAGCCGGCGCAAGACGCACGCATCCCTCGCAGGTACAGGATGCGCGTCATCCCTTCTCACCAATGCGGCGAGGGAGCGCGTGATGGAAAGAGGGATGATGAAACTTTATTTAAATAGCAAAAAGGGGCAAGCCTTTTTGATACCAACAAGGGGGAGGACTTATAAAGGAAATAAAAGAAAAATGAATGAAGTCCTTAAAGAACGCTGTGATCCAAACAACGTGAAGCAGATACACCTTTTAGAAATGAAATAATAAATATTAATTCAATCTGCAGCGCTTGAGTTCGTCTAGAGAGATATGAAGGCTGATACATCATGAAATAAATGGTAAATGGTAAATGGCCCGCATTTATATAGCGCTTTACTCAGTCCCTACGTACCCCAAAGCGCTTTACACTACATTCAGTCATCCACCCATTCACACACCCATTCACACACTGGTGATGGCAAGCTACATTGTAGCCACAGCCACCCTGGGAAGCACTGACAGAGGCGGGTGACAGGGTAGTTTACTGTAATGTACTTTTTCCCTTTTAAGTATTTTAAATATATTTAAGTACTCAACTACATTTTTCACAGCAAGATTGACTTTTATTCGTCAGTTGTTTATTGGTTATCCTTCTTAAATAAGAGACTTTATAGTCGATCTGTCAGTATTCTAAGGTCAAGAAATATTGTGAATGCAGGGATTTTAAATGTAACAGAGTAGTTTATTTTTTATGTGTTGTTACGAATTGTGAACACATCTACATCCAAACTACACTCAGCAGGGAAAATTATGTTCAGCTTAAGAACAGCTGTGAAGTACTTTATGTAAACATCTAAAACTACAACATTTTTGAGGGGAAAAATTACATTTGACAGCTATTTACTACTTAGTATAAAAAGGGTGCCTATTATGTTCATTTACAATTGCTGTGATGGCTATTTTTATTCGTTGATTAACGAGTGGGAGGCTAAATACTGTGTACAGCAGATGAATAGTATCTGAAAGCCATGTCCTTAAGAAACAGGGGGAAAAAATCCAGCAACGTCCTGATCTGCTAGGCCTTCAGTCAATCCATCTGCTGTTCACTGAAGTCTCATCAGAAAAGTTCTCAGTGCAAGGGTGGGTGTCAAGAAGCCATTCTTATTGAAGGGAAACAGGGAGAAAGGCTGTGGTGTGTCAAATTACACAAGAACTGGACCGAAAATTAATGACAACAGGTATTGAATTGATGAATGGAATTGATGAATCACAATTTCAATATTTGGTTCTGATCATCACCACCATTATCAAAACTGATGGAATTATAGATGGAGAAAAGTACCATCACATATTGATCCACCATTCAATAACATCTGGAAAGAGTCTGATTGGAAGCGGCTTCAATATTTGGCATGACAATGATCCCGAACACACTGCCAATGTAGTAAAAGCACACATGACATCAGTCATGGATCGGCCTCCCCAGACCCCGGACCTCACCATTAATTAAACCAGTGTGGGGTCAGCTTGACAGAGAACAGAACAAAAGGCAGCCAACATCCAAAGAAGAGCTTTGAATGATCTTCAAGAAGCCTGGAGAAATATTCCATATTCCATATTGCAAGAAAGCTGCCTGAGAGAGTTCAGGCTTTGTTAAAGAATAAATTCGTTCAAACCAAATATTGAATATTTCAGGCTTGTTAGTATTATATTCTACTTTCCTTTATGTATTATAAATCCATTGTTTGCACATTTTAATAAATAAATAATGTTAATAAATCTCTACACCTATTTCCCATTTCCGTAGCAAAATATAAAGAAGTGACATGTGGCTTTTGCACAATACTTTAAGAGGTCAAATTGGTGGTTTAAAAGATTAAATATAAATTTATCTGATATCTATACTTTTATTTCAGTTTTCTTTTGTTGTGGCATTACTACTTTTACTTCAGCAGTTGACTTGAATAGATCTACATGTAGAATAAGTGAAAAACCTCACATCTTATTACCTTATGGAAAACAGACTTTTGCAAATATAGATATAAAACTCTGTAAGTGCTCCAGTTTTCCCAGAAAGATAAAACGCTATTAGACTAACCACAGAAATATTTACAGTGAGTCAGCCTCTGTAAAAGTGGCTATTAGTGGCAGAAAGAGAGAGAGAGAGAAATAAACTGCTGCGGGAGGATTCAATGCACATTAAAGCTCAAAAGGAAAAAAGAAGGAGGAAGCAAGGATGTCACAAAATAAAAGGATTACGAGACATGAGGAAGACCCACACAGGAACAGATATAATTACTTTCTGGGTGAGCAATATGCAGATGTGGCCATCTGGGTCATCTCAGTTGACAAAGGGGGTGTCAGCTCTGCATCATCGGCTGCTGCTCATAATAGCCAAAAATTTGCCGCTGCACAGAGATAAGCTTGAGACTCTGGGTAGGAATGAAAGCCTTATCTCCAAATTCTATAAAGAGCACCAATGTGCTTCAACAATGGCAGCCACAGAGACAATACTTTCACTTTCAATATAAAAACAGGAGGCAGGACAGTTCAATTACAGAACCCTGTGTCCTGACAAGAACTGGAGAACAACGTATTAACGTTAAAGTCAAGTTTTATTTGAAGGGAGTCATGGGTACATTCATATGAGCGGTTATTAGACCAAGTGTTTCCTCATAATAACCTCAAATTTTAAGTAGAGTGTTTCTGCTGCTTTCGACAGAGGTCATTGCTTCAATTTTAGGGGTGGTTCTTTGGCTTTTTGGTGCATTAAAAGATTTTAAAGGCTCTCTTAATGAACCTCCAGCAACTCTGTTAGATTTAGAGTCCAGTGAGCTCATGTTGTTACGGGACATTCACTGCCCTCATAATGTTGGTGTGACCAGACCCTGGGATCCAGCCTGTCATCACAATCACCATGTCGCCGGACTTGAAGAACCCTCTTGCTTTCCCTGTGGTGTTGGAGAGATAAGGGCATGTGAGTAATATGGCTTATATTATATAAGAACTGCAAGCGGGCTGAACAGAGCACAGACTGACCAATTTCCATGCCAAAGTTGACCCTGTTGTCCACATCATCAGCCCACACAGGAGCGGGCAGAGGGTGGAAGAGGGCAGGAAACACGCCTCGTAACAGCTGAGACTGACGGGTGACCTGAGGAAGAGAAAAAAAAGATTAGGTACATTATAAAATAACTGCAAGTTGCTTGGTGGTTATTAATTTTTATAGTCTGTCAGTCTGTTGATCCCCCGATATATTTACCAGTAAAAACAGGAATGCAAACAGACAATGTGACAAAGAGGAGTGTATAAATATACAGTGAAGGCTAACTGGGAGACTGGGAACAAGAGAGGAAGAAAACAATCATACAGACAGGAAGTAAGATAGAAAACAACACAGCAAAGAAAAAAAACTATCAAAATCAAACACAAAATAATAAAATACACATATGGAGCCCGGAAGGCTCATGTTGGACATACTGTGGTCTTTTCTAAAGTTAGATATACGTCAAAATAAGATTCCTGCAGCTAGTAAATATCTGTTACGATTACTGTTGAGCAATTAAATGCATTATAATTAGATGGTGGAAACCCAAGCCTCCAACATCGCACGTGTGGTTGAATAGGATTTGGAAATCTGCCTGATTGAACAAATAACTTCAGAAAGACTTATTTATCAGGAGATGGAGACCTATTTTTACATTTAAAGAAGGAAGAGAGAGGACTATGAAAGTATGTCAGAATGAGGCAATTTTGTTTTAAATATGTTCATTATTATATTCATTTATTTGTGTATCCTTTTATTTTTCTTTTCTTTTAATTAATATTACTGAGAAAAACAAAACATGCCAATTTTGTACTCTGTCACCACAATTTTATTGATACTAAAAGATGACCTGTGATTGATCAAAAAGTGTGGACGTCATAATAATGAAGGTCAGGGGGAGCTGCCTTCATTTCAGTGATCAGCTATAGTGTGGGGTTATTACAGAGCATTCACATGTGCTCCATCAAAATTTGACCCTGATTATTGCTTTGACATTATTGGAAACCATGATTCTTTTTTAAAGACCATGTAACCCACTTTGATCACCGGTCTTAGAACAAGAAAGCTCAATAAAACAGAAATACAGTCGGTAATAAATACTCCACATTGGTGATACCAGTCTGACAACACTGTCACAATTTACCACGACAGACAGCAAGAGTAGATATCGCACACTATTCACTTTTGAAAACAGTGAGATATCATCATCTAAGCCATGTTTTCATGGTAAGACAAATGCACCAGGTGTCAGCACAAAAGTAATATTTTTTTTGGTTCATAGAGCAGAGTGTACCTGTGGGCTCCTGGTGACGGCAATGATCGGACAGCGAGGGCGGTACCTGGACAGGAGATGAGCCGACCTGCAGAGAAGAAGTGCAAAGTTAAGGATGGAAAATAAATTATCAGTGATGGCACACATGAACAACACTTTCATACTAAGGGAAAAACGAAAGCAGCATCACTACTCCTTGGCATAAATCATACAGGACTCTTTTCTTCCAAATATAATAATAATAACTCGCTTTTTTGATTAAAGCTGCTGTCTTCCATGATCTGTTATTAATCCCGCTTTCAAGGTCATTTAGACTGCTTCCTCTCAACATCTTAGAGTAAAATCGGCACTTACTCAGCAGCTTAACACCCAGAGCACAGTAGGATATCAACTAAACAGATACCTCTCCATTTGTTAGTTTCTTCACTCATTTATAGAAGCTTTTGCTTTTAAGACTGTCCGCTGTCTATGAATGTGAGAATCTTATTTGCTGACACTTTTGAAATATATTGCAGACATTACAGTGTAAACTATTTTCTAATCAGAATTAAATCTCACAGTTTTAATATCTGATATGTTATGGTTGTATGTTCACTTGGACATAATGGCTAAACTAATTGGAGATCATTCTAGTGTATTTTTATGCAGATTTTGGTAACAGGAGGTACGTGTGTGTCCTCCTGTGTGCACATTTAATATATGTGAGACGGGAAATCTTTGGAAGAAAAGTACAAAATACACAAAAACAGTACAATGAAGCCCCATAAAACCCAGTAGATGCACAAGCAGCAAACATTACTGCAATATTCAGCCTGGACCTTTGGGATATAAGAAAAACATCTGTAGCTGCAAACTTTAAAGAGCCTGTGTTATATGTTTGTTTGGAGAGGGACAAATAAACTTGTTTTTAGCATCTACAAGGACGAAAACAGAAATTATTAATCCAAGTTCCTCTTTTCCAATCCAAGGTCACCAGAGTGCCGGAGCCTATCTCCTACACCATGGATAAATCTCCAGTCTGTTGCAGGCCTCACAAAATTTACATACACATTTGCATCTGCATACATCACTAACACGTGTGCAAGCACAGGGAGGTCCAGGCTGGATCCAAACCCCTTTTTACTATGAGGCAACAGTGATACCCACAGCACCACCATGCCGCCCAAACAATGATAATATATTTATGTTAATTATTTTCAAATAATATTCAAATGGTTTTCCAAGTGCCCACTTCGGGTCAGGGACAAGACCCTGCCCCAAGTGGAGGGGGGTTTAAGTCTTGTTCATGAGTGATGGGAGAAGGGAGCGGGAGATCGACAGACGGATTGGTGCAGCGGCTGCAGTGATGCGGACGCTGTACCGGTCTGTTGTGGTGAAGAGAGAGCTGAGTGTAAATG